ACCAGAGAACCTTGACTCTTAAAAATGGCTTTCCATTACTCCTGGGATAAACGGGAGAATCCCCGACTGACGGCAAAGCTTTCTCCTCCAATCTTGTTTCAGGGCACTCTCTCTCTTACCTACCAGACTCCAAGCGCTCAGGCATCTTGCAGTTCCCTGAACACCTAGGATTCTTTTCTACCTCAGCACCAATACCTGTCATTCCTTTTTCTTAAAATGATCTTAAGTCCCACTTATCCTTCAGATTTCAGCTTAAACATCACATCATAGAAAATGCTTTCCTGACCTCTCAATCTAAATAATATATCTTGTGGGGGAGGAAGACAAATCCTCTACCCCGGGGTCCTTCGGGCTGGGCTACAAATTAAATTGACATGAGACAGAATAAGAGGAGAAAATCAAACAAAGCCCTATAACATGTACGTATGGGAGAAACTCAGGAAAACTGAGCAACTCAGCAAAACGTCCAAGCTGCCACCTTAAACATCATCTTCAGCTAAAATCAAAGGAAGGTGTTGGGAGTAGTAGTTTGGGGCTTCAAAGAGGAGGAAGGCAATTCACATGGAAATGGACAAGCAAATGTCTGGTAGATAGAACTTTGATAAGAATGGGCTTAACAAGGACCCTCACAGTCTAACGACACCCAGAGTTATCTGCAGTGATGGCCTGTCCTGGGGACAGGCCTTTGATCATAAATTCTTTTAGGCAGATAGGGGGAGGTCAAAGTTTCTTTCAGAGCCTTTTGTTCTATCAAGGCAAAGAGACACATTTTTGGGTGGCCAATTCTGATCCCCCACAATCTCTTCTGCGTTGATCTTAGTATTTTGTTGTCATTGGTGGGGGATGTTTTGCTTTGTATTTGCGCCTTCAGAGCACTCCTACCATTTTTAACATATATTTGATCGTTTACTTTTTAATCAGCTGTCTCCCTTTCTAGACTGTAGTCTCCCATCCATATAGTTTGGTTCATCACCACGTTCTCTGGATAAAGCACAGGCACACAACAGAGGCTCAGTAAAGATTTATCGTATGAGCGCCTTACTTTTCCAGAGACTAATTACGCTTGCTGTCTCTCCTTCTTTCACATCTCTCACGGTATCACAGTTCAACCAGAGAAACAGAACCCCTACAAGATATAGATACATATATAGACATACATATATGATACACACAAAATATGGACCTTACACAACTGTGAGATCTAGGCAAACAGTCTCTGTAAGGCTGTTGGTTTCGTGTTTGATGCTGGTGTGTGACAACTGTAGGTCAAGCAATTGGAAAGAGAAGATGGACATAAAGTGGGGAGAGCAAGCTGGAACCCCCAAGCACAAACCAGAAGCCTTGTCAGTTCTTGCTATCTTCAGTCTTGGTGATGTGGGTGTCCTACAACAGAAACCGATACTCTTCATCATGGGCTTAAATACACAAGCGGCCCAGGAATCAGAGAAGCCGAAGGAAGATTCCAGGGAGAGTGGAGCAGCTGCAGGCCCGGCTGGTGCCCCACGCCAAGGAGGTGAGCCAGCAGCTAAGAGACAATTTATGGGAGCTACAAGAGCGCCTGCTCCCATCTTCTGAACATGGCTGCCGTTTCACTTCAGCTGTCCAAATCTTCCACATGAATCTCTCTTGTGGGCCACCCTTCAAGGGAAACATACAGAGAAGGGAAGTCTGAGAAATATACTTCAGCCTAGCCAATTTGACATCACAGAGACAACACACTTGCTTAGTCCAAGCCTTCCGCCTGAAACGGTTCATTAACAGCCTCCTAATACTGACTTCAGTGATCCTTCCACAGTCCTCCTTGTCCTCAGCTTCCACCATATTTGACGCTCGGGGTCACCTTTTCCTTTGTGAAATCACCTTTCCCATTTTCTTTGATCAAACTCCACTCTCCTGGCTTCTCTCTTCCTCTCTTCTCTTCATGGCTTCTTCTCTCTTCCTTGCATCATATGGGATATGGTTCCTTTTCTCTTCCCATCCCTAAATGTAGATATTCATCACTACTCTGTGTTTGCCCTCTCTTCTTCCCCTACATTTTCATTCACCCTACCATCTCTACAGTTTTAAGTAGTAGTCTCTTGTTGCCTCCAGGGACCTCCCCTTGGATACCACGAATAGGCCTTGGGGTACTGGATTCAAACAGCCCTGGATCCACATCCCTGTGGGGCCACTCATTGCTGCATCACCTTGGACAAGTTAAACTTTCTGAGTTTCAGTTTCTGTCTTAGTAAACTAAGATAAACAATGCCTAGCTATCATACAGGGAGGGCACGGACACCCCTCTGGGACAGAACACTATCCAATGACTGTTAGGTCCTTTACACTTCTTCCTTTTGCTTCCCCATTGCATCCTCCAAATGGCTACTAGAGTCATTTTCACGCTAGATGTTACATTCCTGCCTAAAACTGGAGCACCTAACTCATCCGCGTTTTAAAACTGAAAGCTCTTCACCCAGGGACTCCCCCTTAGTCCTGGGCAAACCTAGAACTCTCCAGTGGCTCCACTTTGCCTGCTATAATTACAACACTATGTTAGCCACACCTCTACGGTACTGTGAGGCGGCTTCAGTGGCTTCTGTAAATGAATGTCCTGGAATCCTACAAAATGCCCATTCTTTAGAAGTGTTCTGCCAAAAACCCCAGGCCTAGAGGAAAGCACTCAAACGTCATTGTGTGGCACCAAAGGCCCTTGGTGATCGAGCCTGCGTGCCTCTCCAGCCTTGCTCCCCACTGCTCTCCCCTTTTGATCCCATACTCCACTCACATGGCTTCTCATATTCCCCAGGTGCAACATTCCATTTCAGATCTCTGTGTCTTTAATATTCCGTTCCCTCTGACGAACATGGCCCTCCCCACCTTGTCAATAGTGCAAACTCCTACTTCTCCTTCAATGCCCAGCTCTAGCAATACTTCTGTTAACTCTTCCTCGAGATTGCCTTTCCCCTTCCGCCTTCTCAGCTCCTCATCTCAGATAATCGTTCTCCGCACTGTGACACACTGCAGTCTGAACCTGTCTCTATTACAGCTCTGAGGGCGAGGACCTACAATTTTGGGTCTCCTTCTGTCTCTCTTTGTAGACTATCGGTTCCTAGAAAGGAATCATGCCTTCTCTGTGAGGGCTCAGGCAATTTGCCTAAGTCTGTTTCCCCATCTTTCAAGTTGTGTATGATGACTATATTTTATAGCATATGAAAAAAAAAATCTGGCACGTTGTAGAAACTCAATAATTTTTTTAACATATTGTTAAAATCAGGAACTTCCACTATCTGGACCTAACCTATATTTTCAAACTTATTTCTCACTAATACTTATCATCATCAAGTAATCCAGCCAGAAGCTCCCTTTATTGCTCTCTTCACTTCGCTAAA